TGAGATGGAATAAGGCTGTTGCCTGGGCTGGAGGGCAGGGGCAACCTCAGCTCACTGCAACCCCTGGGTTCAAGGGATTCTCCTGCCTCAGCTTCCCAAGTAGCTGGGATTATAGGTGCCTGCCACCACATCTGACTAATGAAAAGCGTCTATTTTTATGCTTAGGTTCAACAAACTTTGAACACCCAGGTAGAAAACTGATTGGACAAAAAAGGGTTTGTCACGGTTCATGCCTGTAGTGAGGCAGGTGGATCACTTGAGGCCAAGAGTTTGAGCCTGGGCAGCATGGAAAAACCTCATCTCTACTAAAGATACAAAAATTAGGTGGGGATGTGGTCCATCTGTAATCCCAGCTACCCGGCTGGCTGAGAATCACTTGGACCTGGGATGGCAAGGTTGCGGTGAGTCAAGATCTTACTACTGCACTCCACTGTTGCTTGGAGAACAGAGCAAGATTTAAGAGTCAGGGGTGGTTGTCTAATACCAAAGGGCTGAGTAGAGAAACCCAGCAAGGCCTGTGTGTCTAGATTCTTCTTGGAATATAAGGAATGCATGGTCAGAGAAGCCAAGAATCTAGCCAGAAACTTCTTTGACACAGGGGTCTTATGACCTAGAGTCAACAGGGTAGGTCAGATAATTTCTTTTTTTTTTTTGAGACAGTACTTTGGAAAGCCAAGGCAGGAAGATTGCTTGAGCCTGGTAGTTTGGGATCAGCCTGGCCTCCGCACAGAAAGATTTCATTTCTACAGAAAATATATATATATTTTGAGACAGAGGAGTCTTGCTCTATCACCCAGGCTGGAATGCAGTGGTGTGATCTCAGCTCACTGCAACCTCCGCCTCCCAGGTTCAAGTGATTCTCCTGCCTCAGCCTCCTAAGTAGCTGGGACTACAGATATGTGCTACCACACCCAGCTAATTTTTGTATTTTTATTTTTATTTATTTTTTTTTTTTTTGAGGCGGAGTTTCACTCACGTTACCCAGGCTGGAGTGCAATGGCGCGATCTCGGCTCACCGCAACCTCCGCCTCCTG